CGGGAAAATCCGATGAGGACAAGGATCTTGAAATCGTTGAGCCCGAGGGGTACAGTTTTACAAACCTAAGTGTTTTGGAAAAATCTTTGCCTTGATTTTAGACACTATGCATTTTTTCCTTTCTTTTCTTTTCAGAGGCATTAGTCTCTCTTCAACCAAAGCTGATGCTAATTCATGGCGCTCAGTACAACCAAGTGAACTTGTTGTCGGAATGTAAGTCGCTATTGTTTTTTTCTTGTCTGATGTTTCCGAATACCAACAAGCATTTGTTATGGTTATCTTGATAACTACTTTATACCTTTTTTGGCTTTTCATGGCTTTGCGTACTTTCCATCAGAATGGCTTGGCGAGTCAAGCATTTAGCACCACCATTTTTTTGGCGTTTTCTTGATCTCAGCGCCCGTAGTACCTTCTGACCATTTCAAGTTCCTTCAACGTCTTTATCTGTATTAACGTTTTGCTCTGCTAAATATCTGTCCTATAATCTTTTTGTAGCCGTGGAATTCCCGGCCAAGCGGTAATCGCAAAGCTCGCCGATGGCTCCTGGTTCCCAGGAAAAATAGCCCAAATTTGTCAGCAAGAAGATCCCGATGGTCCATTGGCTTCAATAAATATCAATCAGCATATTAACGTTGGTGGCAGTCCTTTGACGCTCAATCGCAACCGGCAGGCCTCCAGAACAGAAAATACAGTTAGATTCCTAGTAAATATTGACATGTCGCCCGAACAACAAACTTTTTCTAATGAACTCAATCAAAAGAAGGCAATCGTGGACTCATCTGCCATTGCTCTGGCAATTTCAGCTGAGCAACTACGACAGAAATACCCGGTCGGCTCGCGCGTTGTTTGTGAGTTTTTCATCTAATTTATTAAGGTACAGGTACAATTTTTCAACTTGTTTTTTTATAAAAAGATTAATTCCGGTCCTTAGCAGATATGTGCTCCCAGTTGTCTGGGTCGACTTGTCACTCAAACATGCATCTCCGCGTCTTTTGCGTTTCTTTTTTTAGTAATTTATAACATAAACGGTGTAAGTCCGACAACCTAGCTCACCTATGCTATCCTGAAGTCCGCTGAAATGTACGATGCATCTCGCTAGTGTTTGCTAGTTGTTCATTTTGAAAAATGCTATGCACAATCCTCGTACACTTAAAGTAACCACTATTCTGAAAGCCTGTGGACGAACAGAATATCGTGGAAGCAATTGACTGTCTTGCTGCTATAATCGGCGAACGTTAATGCCAACAGTTTGGCCGACCCCCTAACAACACCTGCCTTCACTGTAAATATCTCTTACATCTAACCTCCTTGTTTACAGTGGTGTATTGATGGCAGGTATCTAAAAGTATGAGAGTTGGCAAGGTTGTCTCAGTGTTCTTTTGTGGCCTCTCACTCCTTATTCACTTACTGTTACAGGCGTTAAAACCTTCCGACAGGTTTCTACATTTTTTCGACGGGTCTCATTCAAGCCTAGCTCTATGCCAATTCAGGTCTTCTACTTTGCACAATAAAAGGATGATGGCCGGTTATTACCTTCCAATTTCATTTTTTTCCGTCACTGGCCCTCTTACATTGCATTATCCTTCGTAACCTTACGATCGTTCCTCGCCAAGGCAAGGAGTTTTGCTCAATTGACATTTTTAACTGCTGGGTTTTTCCTGGTGCTGACGTAACTAAAACCTCGAAGTCAAATTGGTTGTCGATCTCATTCTTGAGTAACATTTTTTCCGTCGTAGAAAGGATGCAGTCTAAATGTTATTTTCCTCTTAAAGAAATATTTTCGAGAATTTTGACTCTTTCGATTTGTATACTTTTTTTACCATTTCAGCTCTTTATCGAGACGAATTTGGCGGTATAGGCTACTACTCTGGTCTTGTTGCGGAACCTCCAAGCGAGCGCAATTCATATCGGTGAGGCATATGTCGTTTTATCTTTACCCCTCTGTCCTGTCTATTACTCAAGACGTCCTCTGCTTCCTTCTATCCATAGCGTCCCACTGTTGCTCATTCCCACCTTTCGCACTCGATCAATATTTTTCCTTTCAGATATCTTGTATTCTTTGATGACGGCTACGCACACTATTCCCGGGCTGGCGAAGTATTCCGGATTTTTCGGCAGAGTGAGTTATTTAAATGCTTATTGTCTGAATTGCAGCGAAGGACAACTGGCGCGAAACTGCTGCAGGCTCGCAGGACTTCATAAAACGCTACTTGGCCCAGTATCCACAGGTAAGCTGCACCACCTAACAGCGCCTCTGAGACCTATTAGGAATTCAGTACAAAATTTCCGAGGTTCTTGAGCTACTTTATATGTATAGTGTGAAGTGCTATCGAAGCGTCTTTCTACTTTAGCGACCCATGGTTAGAATGAAGCTCAATCAGACCATCAAAACAGAACTCGAGGGTGAATGGCTGCAAGCTACCGTAGAGAAAATTGATGCTAGCCTCGTCCTAATGCGCTTTTCCGCAGATCACGTTGAATGGATATATCGAGGCTCACCCAGGCTTGAACCGCTGTTCAATGATCTAGTAAGTCCTGTTTTCTTAGCTGGTGGGACTTTCTAGTGAAGCCGCTTTTGTCTGTGACTATTAATTCTTATTAATTTCAGCCTATCCAAATAGTTCCTTGTTGATTTTTTGACCAATAGGAGTTGTTCTAATATTATTATTGGTCTATAGACATCCTTTGCTGACCAGTAGAAGTTTGTATTGGATGATTTTGTTCTTCCCGAACGCTTTTTGCTTATATGCTTAGTACAGTACAAAAATTACAAGGAAATTTACTTTATTTCCTACTATGCACTTATCACGCAGTAGCTACGCCCTAATGAAGCATTAAACCTTTAACCGCGATTTCCGTAGGAAACTTGAGCAAGGGAGCTTTTGCCATTGGGTGTCCTCACAAGAAAGCCTTACCGCTTTGCCTTTCTATATACTTCTCATTCGGCTGGAGTAAAGTGCACATTCCTTCACTGTTTACCACACTTTAAAGTTATATGATCTTTTTTGAAATATTCATAGATGGTCAACCGAGGGTCAAATAATGCCGAAGATATGCAGCGTGTCGTCGTGGACTATGCCAACGTTGAAGCATGTAAGTGTCGCCTTCTGCAGTTCAATATTCCATCTTCATTTATGATCGCCGCATACTTCGTCGAATGATCGACTACCTCGCAATTCTGACTGCGTTTTCGACAACTTAATCGTTACAGGATACTATTTATTTGGTGCGTGTGAGCAGAAATGGCTGACTCACATCCATCGCTTGTCCGAAAGTTGTTTGATATGTTGGGCTAGCGGAGGATTCTTGCCTTTGCTAGTTAATATCAGTTTAATTTGTTTATCTGTCGCCACCGGATCTTGCTTATTGTTCTGCGAATCCTTCCACCGAAACTCAAACATTAGAGATGAGCGTTCGTCCTCAGCAAATAATTATCAGACTTACACCGTTGAATGTGTACGATTTTGTAGACATATTACTTGGGTAAGAGAACCACTTGTAGTGCGTGAGTAGGAAGGGAAGAAGGATTAGTTGGGGGAAGGGTGATAGAATAAGTGACAGGGGTGTTTACGTGATGATGATGAAGATCAACACTAGTTCTTCTTATTATCATTTCTCTAACGGTAATGATTTTGCTTGGCGAGGTAATGACGATGATGTGATTTCCTTTTGACTCAGCTCTCACCTGTGATGGAGGACGAGGCGAACGCCCAAAGAAACGGGTGTCTGCTGCTGGTCACTGCGCTGTTCGGACGATGACCACTGGCCGGTCGACCTCCGCGTCAAAGTCGTCCGGTCATCGTCAAAAGGGTGCTGCCGCGGGCGCAGAAAAGCGCTCATCTTCTTCTTCCGCTCTACATCAACAACAACAACAGCAGCAACAACAACAAAAACCTCAGTCGCAGGTAGAACAGCCGCCGGAACCGGCTGTTTCGCAGCCCTCTACCCAGGAGGCCGAAGAGACAGGGCGGATTGTCAGATACCTGGACATTGCTCAGGAAGCCTCCATAAAACCTTATGGTAAGTCACTGCGCCGCGGTATAACTTCACTTTTTGGAACATTTTTATCCGATTTTTATCTCCGACATAGGAGTCTAGACGGCTCGTTATAGTCTACCTCGCCCAACTTCATATTCCGAAAACGAATGTCTGCATATTATCCTGAGTCCTAATTGTCCGACACAAGCATAACTTTTGATGTTTTTTGTGAAGTAGCTCACTATTTTCTCTTCTTGTCGACCAAGAAGTAAACCTGTCCCTCCATGAGGTCCTCTACTACTTCGCCACATTAAAATAATTCTGGCACGAGATCTACAGAACTCGAAAGATCTGGTTGGTTTTTGGTTGGTTGGGGGATTTTGAGGATTTTGAATTGAGGCGGGTCTCCGACAGCCGCTCTTTATTCGAGGTTGTCTCCTCTAGTGCTTTGGCTCCAGAACTTAGCCACAAGTTAGTGGTGGCAAGCAACCCTATTTACTGGCTGTTCACGCTCGCCACGTCACATTGCCGTCATTGGGACTTGCGGCCTTTCCTAACGCAGTCGTTTCGACAGACCTTAACGCTCCACCCCCTGCTAACACTGTCGCTGCTGCGTCCGCGACACCAAACCCAGGAGCCTGCTTGTTTTGCAGTTAACCTACACTGAAGGCCGTTCCACTATCCGGTACCTGTGGACTCCCCTAGGTTGCCAACAGTTAGGCTAACGGGTAACCCGCTTTTCGAAAGAAGTGTTCTTATGTCATTGGTCTATCAAACAGAGTGGCAGTCCAGATCATACACATTCCGAATGTAATGTTAAAAACATTGCTTACAATTTTTAAAGCTGGATGTTGACTAATTTATTCACACAGCATATTTCGTATTAATATTTTAAAATTGCTAATTACGTTTTTTTCATAAAATATGTATTTATTCACGAAAATAAAGGAAAATAATTAACGAATATTTTAGATATGCTCTATATGAGAAAAGTCCGCAAATACGTGAGGTGTCAACTATAACGCCTCTATCGTGAATTTGGTAATTTTAAATAACGCCCTGTAACAATTTTCTGCTTATTGTTGCGACATGCCTTACTGCTCTCCAGTAATTTTTCCAGCTTTGCTTAAAAAGGGCCTGATCATTTTTAAACGTATCCTCCGAGTGCTCACTTCAGGTGTTGGTGTTTTCTATGTTTTTCTTAGCCGACATTATAATACAGCGACACTTTAAATCGGTCAAGCTATTTGTTGATCGCATCCTCAGTGAAGTCATTTACCCTTTCCACTCTGAATTAATGGCTGCGAAGTCTTCCGTGTTATGCGCCGAAGCTTCCGTTATATGTCTTGTCGTACACCGGCATAGCAGCACTCTATACTCCCATTCCTAGCACGCTACCTCACGTGGGAAGAAACAGAAATTGAGAAGTTGAAAGCTGACCTGTCTCCATAACAAATGTAGATACCGTGTAAACCTTTATATTTTGAGTATTCTAGGACCTTTTACCTTACCTTATCGTTTGCTCTCCGTGAATGGAACCATTTTCGCTGAAAGTTATGCATATTTACCTTCAAAATAAAGCATATGTATCTCTCTCATGCCGATTTTTGTCTGAACGTTTTCCTACCTCCCTCCTGCGTCAGTTGCCCACAAGTG